AAAACTAAATGCAGATAATAGTCTGGAATAAAAATAAATATAAAACTACTTTAAAAGTGTAATTTATTTTCTGACTTTTTACTTTATTTCTCCTCTAGGGAGTAGTTTATTAACAAACACTTACTTTTTATTACTTCTCCAGATAAATGGAAATGTCAGAACTTTAGCCATAGTATAAAATTAAAGTCAGAAAACCAAACAAACTTGTGGAAATGCAAAAGTATTTTTATATTTTATTTTCTAAAATAAGAGTGATCAATGAGCCGAAACTGGTTTGGCTCAGTGGATAGAGCGTCGGCCTGCGGACTGAAAGGTCCCAGGTTCGATTCCAGTCAGGGGCATGTACCTGGGTTGCGGGCACATCCCCAGTAGGAGATGTGCAGGAGGTGGCTGATCGATGTTTCTCTCTCATCGATGTTTCTAACTCTCTATCTCTCTCCCTTCCTCTCTGTAAAAAATCAGTAAAATATATATATATATATTTTAAAAAAGAGTGATCAATGAGCTAGTGACCAATGAGACAGCCCCAACTGGCACATTTACCCAGCCAAACTATTAATAGGGTCCCCTTCCACTCTCAGAATTGTTCTCAAAAAAGTTCAGACAATACATTTTATGGCCATGCTAGCTGTAATCAAGCTGAGAGAGTTTTTAAATCTTAGCTTTAAAAAAAAGAAACTTAAATTCACAAACATTAAAAATAGACATCAGTTCAATTTCAACAATTCATTCATTTAACATAGTAACAAACACTGAATGAAGATCAGGCTTTCAATAACATTTGTCACTCTGTTGCTGTGTGTTTAGTTAGTGGCTTTTTTATTTCTCAATATGAACAACTATAACAAACATAATGCCATTCTTCAAAACTATATGAAGCAAATCATCAAACATAAATAGAAATTCTGAATTGTTAGTCACAGGAACTCAAAATCACGAAGATATATTGATTTGTTATGAAATACATACACACACTTTTGTGGAAATGAAATTTTCTGACATTTTGGTGTTTTTGTGTCCCATTATCTCTTTTCTATAGAAATGATCAGGGCATTTGCCAGTTTTTCTCGTGATGTCATAAATATTGAGAAGCTACAGTCTCCACTGGCAGCTGATATCGGCCACCTGATTTTGTATGTAAATATATACAAAATAACTCAGAAGTGAATCATTGCTACCCATATGCTTTAACACTCCAGTGGGAGTCAGAAATTGACTTGATTAAAAACCCACATCTCTGCAGTTCAGCAAAAGGGTAGGATGCACAGAGGCCTGTGCAGACAAGACTCTTTACCTCCCCCTGGTGGAGAACTGTCATGCTGTAATGACCATATTAGAACAAAACCCTCCACTGCTATCAGCTGCAAAACTGTTACAATAAACACAAAAATGACGGTGATAAGGCATGATGCCTTATTTTATTTTATTTTTTTAATTACTTTATTTTTTAAAGTATATTTTATTGATTTCAGAGAGGAAGGGAGAGGTAGAGAGAGATAGAAACATCAATGATGAGAATCATTGATTGGCTGCCTCCCGCACACCCCCACTGGGGGTGGAGCCTGCAACCCAGGCATGTGCCCTTGACTAAAATCGAACCCGGGACCTTCCAGTCTGCAGGGCGATGCTCTATCCACTGAGCCAAACCATCTAGGGCAGGTTGCCTTTTTAGAAGGGACCCTTCTGGGCAGTGCACAACTAGAGCAACCATATGTAACAGCCCTGAACATAGTCACTAAAAGCAAACCAACTATTTCTTCCATTCCCCAGCCACAGAGTGAGCAATCTGCTCTGCTGGCAGGAACACCTGCGTGCTGGGCCTCGCAGACTGCTCCAGACCCAGAGCAGAGGGCAATGCAAGAGATCTCCCGGGGTGACTTGACAACATGACTTCTTCTTATCCAGCCCTTAGATAAGGGGTGATCTTGTTCCCCTGGAATGTTTAGTTAAAGTAGGCATGGAATGGACAATGCACAGAAAATAAAATTCAGATGACTAATAAACGAATGAGGGGAATATTACAATCATTTGTGAACAAATAAATACAAATGAAACAACACTGTCAGTCCAGTCCAAAGTCTTCCACCCTGTCCTTGCCTTTCTAGAACTCTCTACTAGGAAGATTGAAAGGAAGCATGAGGGAAGAGGGGCTTTCCTTTTCCTGTCCCCGTGCTGTCCTGGTTCGGTAGCCCTAGCAGTGATGGAAGATCATGGCAGGGGCATTTGGTTCCAGACTTCTTTAGGGACTTTTTTGGGGGGACTCCTAGGACCAATCTCACCCTCTTCAGATAATGTCCAAAGTTCCATCTTTGCCAAACTCCTCTGAGTTCCTAAATTACCAGTAGCAGCCAGCAGGAGCCCTTCCTCAAAGTCCGAGGACCAGCTCCCAGGAACTGCCCTCCGAGCACCCTTCCCCTGGCTCCCCAGCTGCTCCCGCAGTTGCTCTCTCAGATAACCTCAGTGCTCCGTCCCTGCCCTTTCACCCTCCAATGCCCATATGATTCATTCCCTCTATTAAATTCTACTTGGGGAAACACCTGACATATTATATATTTATCTTAATTTGTTCTTAGATTCTGACATTTAGGTTATCCCCTTTTTTCTATTAAAAAGAATGCTGTAATAATAAACATTTGTACCCGTCTCTGGGTACAAACAGGTGAGAGCTTTCCTATGACATGGAGCCAGAAGAAGTGTTGCTAGGTGACAGGGATGGGCATCTTCATCTTTGCTGGACAAACTCTCACCCTGTGCTTCAGGGAAGCACTTTTATTCTCTACTGGAGGCCCAATGCACAAATTCATGCACCAGTAGGGTCTCTCGGCCTGGCCTGCGGGATTGGGGCGAAACTGGCCCCCCGCCCCCCCCCCCCCGAGGGGTCCTGGATTGCAAGAGGGCACAGGCCAGGCCAAGGGACCCCACTGGTGCACCATTGGGGCCTGGGAGAGATATAGGAGGTTGGCAAGCCAGGGAGGGACCAAGGGAGGGCTCCAGGGCGTGTCTGGCCCATCTTGCTCAGTCCCGATCAGCCTGACCCCAGCAGCTAGCTAACCTACCAGTCAGAGCGTCTGCCCCTGGTGGTCAGTGCACATCATAGCAAGTGGTTGAGCAGCCTTAGCATTTCATTAGCATATTATGCTTTGATTGGTTGAACGACCTACAGGTCAACTGGACACTTAGCATATTAGGCTTTTATTATATAGGATTTTGTTCATCACAGTTTGCATCCCTCCCTCGGGGTATTACTAATGGCCACGAGACCAAAGAAGGAAGCTGCCTTGGCTTCCGTGTGATAAAATAGTGGCAGAAGGGTCTGAGATGGACAGAGGCGGCCTGAAAAGCTGGACTAGGTCCCTGGCACTGTTTTGAGGGCGGGAGCAGCAGATCTCCGAGGGCTGATGCTTCAGCAGGGGTGGAACAGGCATCTTGATTGATGACTCGCTCGAGGTACAAATATTTCCAGACATTCTTCATACTGGTTCCTGCCAAGATGCCCTTTGTCCAACTGTGCCTGGTTCCTTGAGGGCCAACAGCCTTGGGCCTTTCCAGGCTGGAGGCACTGGACTCTTTGCCAGGCTGGGTTCCACAAAGCCCGAGCTCTAGGCCTCACCTGAGTCCCACCACCTCTTACCTCCCCAGGGTTCCGCCAGGGACCCTGCATCAGTCCATATCCACTTCCTCCCTTTCCTGTCCCAGGGCCTCTCTGTCCTGAGACATGTGCGCGCACACACACACACACACACACTTCCATGAGAAGCCGTCTCCCAACCTGGGTTCTGATGGTGGCCTCCAGTGGCTGCCACCGTGGCTGGGAGACCACAAATCCTTCTGCAGGTTCCAAGTCAGTGAATAGGCGTCCTGACAACAACCCAAAACTCAGCTTCCCACCATCCTGGCAGGTGGAGGCTAGTTCGCTGAAATTGTATCCATTTATTCCTCCAGGAAAATAACGTGTTTATTCACAACAACTCTGGGACCTGGCAGTATCCTTCCACTTTTTCAGGTGAGAGAGATGAGGCCTAAGATAAAATAACTGGCCCAAGTGGCCAGGTTATGACTTGAACAAGAGCGGGCCTGACTTCCCACTTTCTAACTTGCTGCCCAGACTCCTTGGGTAGAAGCAGTGGGAAAGCTGGGCGTGCTTCCCAGCTCCCCCAGCTTCCTGCCTGGCCACGCCTTCCCAAACGCCGAACACCCCGTGGCGGCCCTGGACAAAGATGCCTGCAAATTTAGCGTCCCTCCCGGTATACACTTCGTATCTGCCTGAGTGCTTTGGCTTCTGCACTGACACACGCTGCCGCTCTGGTAGCATTTTCTTACCTGCTCCTGCCTGTGTGTGGCCCTCACGGGCGGGTGCTGTCCCCTGCTCACCTGCACCTGTTCTTACCGGGGTAACCAGGCCATGGCCTAGAAACACACCTCAGCGGCATCTTCCTTTATGACAAAATACAAAAAAAAAAAATATGAAGCAGGAATCACTCAGTATTTTTTAATCTGTCTTTATTTTTCCTGTGCAGATATGAATGGAGGCATAATTAATAGTTAAGGCTTTTAAAATATATGCGTTTTGAGAATACATTGCTAGTTGCATTTTGCTGATGATATTTCCTTGCATCTTAACTTCCTTTAATAAACCGTTTACTTTTATTTTTTAAAGTTAAAATGGTTAAATGATTCATAATAAAAACCAGAAGAGACCCATCAAAATACATACTTGAAAATGCAGCACCTTTTGTATGAACTACATTAGGGCCCAGTTATGCGGCATATGGATTATAATATCAGACCACAAAAACGTCAAAAGTTGCCAAAGCAAAATGGGGCATTTTTTCTGAGAAGAGGAGGGAGAAAAGAGGAGGAACAGGAAGAGGAGGAACAGGAAGAGGAGGAAGAGAAGGGAAGGCAGGAAGGGAGGGAGGGAGGGAAGGAGGGAAGGAAGGAAGGGAGGGAGGAAGGAAGAGGAGGGAAGGAAGGAGGGAAGGAAGGAGGGAAGGGAGGGAGGGAAGGAGGGAAGAAGAGGCAGAGAGAGAGAGAGACTGAAGAGAGGAGAAGGAAAAGCTGCCCGTATGGCTTGCCTGCATCAGGAGGAGTTCTCTTGGGGTAATTTCCAGTGGGTATTTAAGCAAAGGATGGACCATTACGGTTGTAATTCACTATCATAGAACCCAATGCCTAAATAGCTTATAAAATGGTAATGGAATTCCATGGGCTGGGTTTGTTGAAGAGCTACATTCTGCACTCTGTGCTCTTGGCCAGCTAAGAGCTTTGCCTCAGGATGTAATTCCGGAGGGAGGGCGAGGGTTCCTGGGACGAAGGGGCAGTTTGCAAAGATGTGGCCTAAGGATCTCATCTTGTCGGAGTCCCAGTTGTCAGCTGTGTTTGGCTGGGAACCCATCCCCAGAGCCCCCACGCCAGGGCGAGAGCCGCCTCTAATCCCTTGGCAAGTTAGAGGGAGAGGTCTCCTTCCCCAGCTCAGACGCTCTTTTCTTTTCTTTTTCCAGTGAAACAGATTCCGTTTCGTGGGGGCTGGATGGCAGGGCGTCTGGATCTGCGTCCCCCCCTTGAAGTGACCTCAGGTGGGGTGACCTTGCCTCGTCCTGAGCTTGGCACAGCTCCCCCAAAGGCCTGGGTTCCTAGGGTCACAACAAGCCCCTGAGGAGGTACCAGGTTCAGAAATCTGCCTCAGACACATCTCCCTTCCAGGCTCGGGGTGGAGGAAGGTGCCAGAGGGGGCGGGGGTGGGTGTATAATGAATAACAAAGGGAAGGTCAGACGTCTAAGAATTCCTCGGGGGTGAAAAAATAAGAGTTCAGTGTCCACGATTTCATATGCTTGGCCTGGGGACACCTGCACTCCACAAAGTCCCGCCCCTCGCAGGGTTCCCTGTGGACCTCGTAAGAACCTGCCACCTGACCATGGCGGACAGAACAAGTCCCATTTCCCAGATGAGGAAGCTGAGGATCTCTGCTTGCAAAGCGCAGGGGGAGCTGGAATGCTCCTGCCAAGTCCCTTGCCTTGGGCTATATCGTATCGCAGGGACAGCTGACTCCCTGGGCAGGAGACAGACTCCCTGCCTTCACTGCTGCTTGGTCTCCGGTTCCGGTGCGACCCCCTCAGGCAGGGGGCTGCGCCCACAGAGCTGCACCTGGCTTTCCAGTTGGCTGAGGCGCTGCTTCACCGCCATCTGGCTGGCACTGTACTCGGCCAGGAGCCGCGCGAACCTGGTCTGCAGGGTGTCCAGGGAGGACTCCAGGTGCTCCACCTTCTCCTCGATGTCCTGGGGGTCTGCCCCGGCCTTGGCCAGGTCCTCGTCGATCAGGTTGTCCTTCATGAGGATCTGCCGTCCCTTCTCCTCCAGGGCCTTCTTGGCGTCAGGGTATTCGGTGAGCGCCTCCATCAGGTCATCCTTGGAAAGGCAGAACAGGTCCGAGTAGCCGATGCTGCGGATGTTGGCCGTCCTGCGGTTCCCTGACTTGCTCCCCTTGATGTTTAAGATGCTGATCTCCCCAAAGTAACTCCCGTCACTGAGGACCACGAACTGGGTGAGCCCGTCGTCGGCCACCACCGCCAGCTTGCCCTCCTTGATGATGTACATCTCCCTCCCGATGTCGCCCTTCTTGCAGATGTAGTCCCCGGGGCTGAACACCGCGGGCCGCAGCTTCAGCACGAGCTCCACCAGGAGCCCCGCCTCGCAGTCCTGGAAGATGCGGACCTTCTTCAGGGTGTCCAGGTGCACGTTGATGGCGATCTCGGCCTTCAGCTTGTCCGGGAGGCTCTTGAGCACCTCCCTCTCGTCCACCGTCTTGCGGTTGGCCCACAGGTAGTCGAACCACCGGATGACCCGCGTCTCCAAGTCCTTGGTCACCTTGCGGAGCTGCATGTACTGTTTGATGGCGTCGATCTTGGCCTGGAACTCAGTCCGGGAGGCGTTCATGTTTGAGATCATGGAGCCCACGTTGCCCACGATGGTGGCAAAAATCAGGACGCCCACCAGGAAGTCTACGACTACAAAGAGGTACTCCTCGTCTTTCACAGGGGGTGGCGTCTCACCGATGGTGGTGAGGGTCAAGGTGGACCAGTAGAGACTGTAGATGTACTTCCTGGAGAGGCGCCCGTACTCCGGGTTTGAGATGTTTGGGTAGACCCAAGAGTCTGTCCCGAAACCAATGAACTTGGAAATGGCGAAGTAGATGCAGGCGTTCCAGTGGATGATGACGAGGATGTACAAAACCAGGTTCCCGATCCTGAAGACATTGGGGTAGCTGGTCCTCGTCTCTGTGCGGTCAAAGAATTCAAAGAGCCGGGCAAACTTCAGCAGGCGGTTGAACCTCAGCTCCGGGTAGTTGATGCCCAGCTTGAAATAAGCCAGGTCTGTGGGGACGAGGGACAACACGTCCAGCTTGAACTGCAAGGTCTCTGTGTAATGCCGCCACAGCCTCTTGGCATCCCTGACCATCAAGCCTTGCTCGAGGAAGCCTAAAGAGGGAGGTGGAGGTCACGTGGGCACCAAAGAGGCTATGCTTTTTGACCAGGGCCCACAGAAAGATACTTCACCTCATGACTACAGAAGACATGGTGGTACACTAATATTAGAAACCACTTCAAAACCACACTTACCGCCCTAACTGGTTTGGCTCAATGGATAGAGCATTGGCCTGTGGACTGAAGGGTCCCAGGTTCGATTCCAGTCAAGGGCATATACCTTGGTTGCGGGCACATCCCCAGTAGGGAGTGTGCAGGAGGCAGCTGATCGATGTTTCTCTCTCATCGATGTTTCTAACTCTCTATCCCTCTCCCTTCCTCTCTGTAAAAAATCAATAAAATATATATTTTAAAAAAAACCCACACTTACCGCACCTACAGGAAAGGTACTGATATTTACCAGTCTAGGATGTCCTAATTCATTTTATTCATTTAAAAATATAGATCAGTTGGGTCCATTTGAGTGTGGATTGGGCATTAGAGATAGAAAGAAATGATTATTAAATTTTGAAACATAAATGGAAGTTGTATTTTTTAACGAGTCCTTGAAAATTAGAGATACATGGTAAAAGGGTTACTGTCTGAGATTTGCTTTAAAATAGTCCAGCCAAGAAAGGGGTCGGGGGTGGGGGTAGAAACAAGATTAGCAAAATGTTGATGACTGTTGAAGCTGGGTGAGGGCGCCTGAGGATCTATAATACTGCTCGCTCTGACTGGGGGCATGTTTGAAAACACTAATAAAAATGTTAAAAGCACAGGTCATGGCCATGCTTCCTCAGTCACCAATGGGCATGAGCTGCCTGTGGGAGACACTGTCCAGGGAGGCAGTGTGCTACTTGCTGGCTGCATCCAAGGGAAGCATGGAAACTGGAGCTCACCCCCGAAAGTCAGATGGGCCTGGACCCTGGGAGTCAGGGACGTCCTGCTTCCTACCCCCGTTCTTTACTTCATTCTTTGGTTAACTCGTGTTTATTCAGAACCTAGACCAAGCATGTCAAACTCGCGGCTCACAATGAATATTTTTGCGGCCCAGCCAATATAACAATATGTAAGAAACGTTTAATAAAAATTTTGTAACTTAATTTTTACAATATCCTGTTATACATAATTATTAATAACGAACTACAATGTTCACTAATGACTGATTACTATAATCGTGTTGCATTCATTTCCCTTATGCACCTTATGCGCAGGCGCACCATTTCTCCCCACTAATCCTAGCAGCGAATATTTTAGCAGCTGATGGCCATGTCATTAGTCTTGGACTGACTTGTTTGGTGTACGCAACAGGAAATATTTCCCTTCCGGAGAACAAGAAAAATAGGTTTATTCCCTTCCGGACAAGAAAAATAGGTTTATTTGCATTACGCTTATTAATTTGTGCAGTTATTCACTGTCTGGTAAGTTAATGTTCAAGAAAAAATATTAATTTTTATTAAAATCTTCTATTATTTTATGTTAATGAATTTCGGATGCACGAAATTCATTCAAGAGTAGGGCCTTCCTTCCCTTGGCTGCCGGCACCGGCTTCCCTCTGGCATCAGGGACCCAGGCTTCTCTCACAGCCCCAGCTTCGTCTGGAAGGTCGTCCGGAAGGATGCCTGGTCTAATTAGCATATTACGCTTTTATTATTATAAGAAGAAGATTACTCATTTATTTCAGCCCTTTGTATTCAGCATGTCTCTATCGAAATAAACCTATGTTTCTATGAAATTGAAGCTTTTGCTTTTTTGCGACCCACATAAACTTCAACCTTGTTTATTTGGCCCAGGTTAGCCTTTGAGTTTGACATGCTTGGCCTAGACCAGTGGTCGGCAAACTGCAGCTCGCGAGCCACATGAGGCTCTTTGGCCCCTTGAGTGTGGCTCTTCCACAAAATACCGACTTCTGTGCATGGGCCGCCACGAAGTAATTGCACTGTACGTGCGGGCCCGCACATGGTATTTTGTGGAAGAGCCACACTCAAGGGGCCAAAGAGCCTCATGTGGCTCGTGAGCTGCAGTTTGCCGACCACTGGCATTACATGACACTCCTTGAGCCTCAAGACTCCTCGATACTTCCTCATTACATCTTCCTTCGATTTTGAAGAGTTTTTTCCTCCCCTTTGAAATAGAATCCACAGCCAATTGGTTTCTTGCCTACCTGCCTCCTCACCCCTGGATTCCTGCTGAGTCTGAGGGTGCCAGGGTAACGCCAAGGCACAAGGAGGGGGGCCACACCTGAGACAGAGGGCCCTGTGCTGCTGACCTGGTTGAAACAGGGACAGCCGGCCCCAGGAGTCGGGCCAGGCCAGGAGCTCTTGTGTCTTGCTAGGTTCACGCGACTGAGGAGTGGCCGACCACCAGGACTGGCTCAGTCACCGTGCAAGCCTCGGGCTGTGTGCATGAGGACCTCTGTTACGTCGCCGTCTCCGGGCACTGATGTGGACGGAAGCAGGAGGGCTGCTGGGGAGCGGGAGTGACCGTGGACTTTGGGCCAGTCACTCAGCGTCTCTGGCCTCAGCTTCTAAGTCGGCCGATGGAGAGTCCTGCCTGCCGTCTCCAGCACAGCGGTTCTCTGGGGAAAGGAGGGGGCTGCATCGCTCTGCGCACTGCCGAGCTGCGCGGCTTGTTGCAGCGATCCGGCATGTTTATATCGACAACTATGGCACAGTTTTTAGCTAAAAAATCTTGGAAGTCACAAGCAGGGCCTCCATGAGCTTACGTGATGTCTTTGTGCAAATTGGAAAAGGTGCCCCAGAGATGCAGGGCTGGGAGCCGTGGCTGGGGCTGTAGCCCCCACTTGCCGCCAGAGGCACCTGGAGGAAGGCCTACTCCGGAGTCAGTTCTCCACGTCGAGTGCTCCTCTGACAGCCACAGAGCAGCAGGTCCCGGGCCTCCGGCCGTCCCAGCGAAGACTGACCGCGCTCTGCCTCCTGCCTCCAGCCGCGCTGGGCTGGGCCTCGAGATGATGATGTGGCTTCTTTACTTCCAACACCAATGGAAATACCCATGTGGCCCAGAAAGACAGCTCGACTTGCACAGGGTCACACAGCTCATTGGGACAAGAGAGACCAGAACCCAGGGGTCATGACCCCTGCTCGGGGCTCTGTCCCAGGAGCAGCGGAAGCTTGAGGCGGCACCACCCCGTCACTGCTGCAGGCTCCCCCGGCCTGCTTGGCTCTAGTGGTCAGGGGTAGGTAATGTCTACCCTACCATCCTGGATCTCCCTGAACATGGCTGTGGGCCCCTGGGCCCTCCTGCTGTGGGGCCGGTGGCCGGGCCCAGGATGTCCCGGCTGGGCACTCACCTGTCCGGGCGCGCACCAGCACGTCCAGGCCGTAGAGGACGTCCGCCGAGTAGTCCAGGACCAGCCACAGCACCAGGTGCTCGGACTGCAGCTCGTCGAAACAGGCCCTGAGCCAGGGCGACAGGGAGAGATGTCTGCAGGGCCTCTGGGCACCAGCCGGCCTGCAGGGCTTGCGCCCCGGCGTCATCGCCCAGGCCCTGAGGAGGGGACCAGGCTCCCAGAAGCCTTTCTGTCCAAGGTCACGTAGCCAGGAAGAGCTGGGATTGACCGGAAAGCGCGGGCCCTGCTTGCTCTGAGCAGGGAGCTCCGAGGCCGGGCGCTTTCTCTGGGCCTCACTGCTGGGTCAGGAGCAGGCTGAGGACCTGCCCTTCCCAGGTCAAAGACATGAGAATTCCTGGAGGATTAGCCACTGAACAAGCCAGTAAATGTTTTCTACTTTCTCCATCTTTATGTTTACCGCTTCTCATACAGACAATACCCGCAAAATACCCCTGATCCCCAGAGAACAGCAGCCTGCTCTGTCCCCAGGCAGGCTGGGAGAGGCCCTCTGTTCTCCCTGCTTCACCCCAACTTACCCTCAGAGGAGAGGAGCCCACCCCTTGCTCAGATAATCCCGAAAGCCCCCCTTACACTCAGGGAGCCCTGGGGCCCTGCACACCTGCCGTGCGGCCTGGGCAGGTGGTTCCCACACCACCAGGAGAGCAGGACGCACCCCCGCAGTCTTACCTGGCAGGCTGGCTCAGGGACCCCAAAGCCCTGCGTACCCTCGCAGAGCAGCACCTCTGCCCCGCGCCCCCTACCACGTGCTCAGCGAAGCCCCAAAGCCCTGTGTATCTCCAACAGTCATACCTGCCTTGCAGGCTTGCTGAGGAATGGCCACAGCTCCCCTGCCTCCCTCCCCTGCGCCTCCTACTACCCCCAGAAGAGCAAGAGCTCACCCTGCATCCTTGTCTCACAGGCCTGCTGGGAAGAGCCCCCAACCCTTTGCTTGTTCTCCGAGAGAGCAGCTCACCCCTTATCATTTCCTGAAGTTTGATTAGAAAATCCCAACCCCCCTGTGTACCCCAGAAAATCAACAGCTCTGTCCCCGAATGCCTGCTAAGGGCCTTCCCAGAGTCCCTACCCCCAGAAGGGTAGCTGCACCTGCTCATCCCCTCCAGGCGCCCAAACTCCCACCCCCAGGGGCCCCTTCACTCTTGCGTTCTTGTCTCTGGACTTGAACAGGATGCCCCAAAGCCACGGGTCCTCTCAGAAATGCAGCCTCTTGTCCCTGCATCCTTGCCCTGTACCTGGCTAGGAAGGCCCAGACCCCGCCTACCCCCTGGAGGAGAAACAACACCTCCTGCCCCTCTCCTGCAGGCCCCCTGCTGGCCCACAGAGGCCGCAGCCAGGTCTCTGTCCTGCAGGCTTGCCCAGGAAAGCCTGGCCCCCACCTACCCTGAGGAGCAGCATCTTCCTAGGAGAGACCCCGAACCCCCCTCCCTCTGCCCCTTAGGAGAGGAGCTGCTCTTGCCTCCCTCTCCTGCAGCTTCCTTAAAGAAGTCCCTGCGCCTCCGCTTGTCCCCAGAAGAGCCACCGCTCGCCCCTGCGTCCCGAAGCACACCCTGGCCCAGGGACGCGCACCTGCCCTGCAGGCTGCTCAGGAGCACCCACAGGCCCTGCTGCCTTCACAGGAGCCGCAGCTCCCCCTGCACCCACCCACAGCCACAGCCAGAGAGCAGGCTCCTCCCCGGCACCCTGCCCTCAGAGCACCCTGCCTCAGAGCACCCTGCCCGCAGAGCACCCTGCCTCAGAGCACCCTGCCCTCAGAGCACCCTGCCTCAGAGCACCCTGCCCGCAGAGCACCCTGCCCTCAGAGCACCTGCAGCTCGCCCTCATCTTCCTCCTACACCTCCATCAAGGCTCCTGGGTGCTGTGGGCCCTGGCACAGGTCCCCACGCGCTTCAGAGCCCGCACGGTGCTCCTCCAGAGCCACCTCACCATGGAGACACAGGCGCCAGCTGCATGGCCGGGCTCTTGAGTGACACTCAGAGTCCTGCCTGAAGGCGGGCTGCCCTCCCTCCTCCACCCCCCCACCCCCGTCCGCTGCGGGGAGGCCCAGCCACACCCCTACCTGCACACCAGCAGACACCAGTTGTAGAAGACAGGCAGGGCGATGGCGGTCAGCCAGCGGTAGTACACGTTGCTGGAGGGGTCCAGCACCACGGTGTCCTTCTCCCTGGAAACAGACCCCCCAACAGCGCCGTGTGCTGAGGCCTCAGCTCTGGAGGGTCTTGGACACCTGCCCGAGCTTCGGAACCCGAGGACACTTGTGGGCGGAACCTCAGAGAGGGCTACTCCAGACCAGGCCCTGTCAGTCTCGGGGTCACATGGGAGGAGAGGCTGGGAGGCAGGGCAGACTCTGGAGGTGCCCTCCCAGCTCAGCTCCCCAGGAAGCCAAGTTGCCCATCACATCACGGCGGCGACATCCCCACGTGCCCCGTGGCACCCTCTGTGTCCGCAGGATGCTGGGAATGAGCAGGCAGCTTGATGATGTCACAGGGCTGCTATAGGAGCCTGGGAGCTTTGTGGAAATGCAGATCCCCAGGCCGCCCAAGCCCTCCAGGCTGGGGCCTGCCCACGTGCACTCACACTTGCTCAGGCCTCTGCGTCAGCTCCTCTCGGAGCAGAATGTGGGAGCCTGGGACGTTCCCTTGGGAAGGTTTCCACCTTACTCACATCCCTTGCACAGATGTCCTCAAGCAAGCATGTCAAACTCGCGGCCCGCCGCTGCATGCCTCGTTTATTTTGGCCCGTTAGCCTTTGAGTTTGACATGCTTGTCCTAAAGGCTCATTGCCCAGCACCTGGGTCCTGCCTCACCATCCAAACCACCAACTTGGGCCTCACCTGGGCCACGTGGGCCACACGCAGAGGAGCGATGGCTTAGTGTGCTTTCTGTTTTCACTCCCAGGGTTTGGGGAGGATTCGAGTTTACCGAGGTGTCTCCTCCCCAGCCCATACGCCTCATGTGCTGGCCCAGGTCTGTTCCGGAGAAGACAGGCCTTCCTGCCTCGCTGGGACCCGCAGTGCAAGGTTACCCCTCACAGGTAGGATCTGGACGGTTCCAAGCCCTTGTCGCCACTGGGTTTGGATTGAGGTTTGGGACTGTAGTATTTTCACGAGCCCAGGATCAGGCCTTAGCTTACCTGGGCTGTGCGGAGGCACTTGTGTGGCAGATAGAATGCCTGCGTGTGTGTGTGTGTGTGTGTGTGTGTATGTGTGTAGGGGGGGAGGAAGCACAGGTTCACAGGGATAGCCCCTAACTGCTCCCCTGAGGCTCCACCCCAGGAGGCCCCCTGGGAGCCCCAGAGCTGGGCCAGGCCTCCCTCAGCTGGACGAGACCTCACAGGACTCATAAGCCTGGCCTCTGGGGCCAAGTCCTCATCTGCAGCTCTCACCAGCCTCCTCTCCGGGGCTCCCCGGAGGCCTGACAGCATCACCCTCGGTCCCCGTTTCTGGTCCTGTGCGCGGCAGGCTCCACGTGGCCACGGAACCCCTGTTTGGATGCACTTCTCTCAGTGTTACTCCTCTTGTTTGAGGCAGCTTTCCTTCCTCCCTTTCCTCTTTCTCCTTTCTTGCCTTGTCACTGGAGGACACAGGACATTAAGCAATTCTCTTACAGCACACACACCACCACGCGGAGGGTGAGCCGAGGGACACGCAGGAGAGGCCACGGGCAGGGAGTGGCTATTTCCAGCACACCGGCCGAAAGGAGGTTGCTGATTTCATCATCATCATCGTCATTGTTATTGTTATTATGACTCCCGAAGCATGAGGCAGACTAGCTCAGTGTCGTGCGACTTCTGACCCATTTTCAAGAGCCCCTAGGACGTCTCAAACGGCTGGGACTGGAGGCATGGTGAGGTGCTGGGATATAATCCCAAAACCACACTTTAGGGTGAAAAAGTCACCTATAAAGCGCTTTGTTCTGAAGGAAAGGGTGTGGCCTGCTGGTTCTCAAAACCTCTCTGGGCATCGAATGAAAACCTGGGTGGGGAGCAAGCTGCGGGGCAGGGGGCCAGCGGGGTCCCAGGCCCGAGGCTGCGGGGGAGCAGCCCCTCTTCCCCTCGCGGGAAGGCCCGCGAGTGCAGCTCTCTCCTCAACAGGCGCTTCTCTCCGCTTCCTCTTCTTCACGGCCTTCTTTTAAGGACCGGCAGTCATCAGGGTCACCTGACCATCGTTGCCATTGTTCTGCAAGCCAGGCATCATGGCCCATCCAAGAGCTGAGGACATGGGGCCGAGGGAAGGCACCTGGCCTGCCTCCGGGGTCCCCGCCAGCCATCCGCGGGCCCCTCTGATTCCCTACTGCGCACCCTGGAGGGAGGCTTTGGAGGGGAAATATAATTGTCTGCTAATTGAACACCCATTGAGAAAGATCAGTGCAGTTCACATAGCACTTCCCAAGGAAATCACCAAAGCTGTGTGCAAACAAGCTTACAAAAGAATAGCCACGAACATATAAAGTCAGAAGCGTAAGCGACCTAGTCACACAGCTCTGTTGACAGGGGAATTCCCGAGGCCTCTCACGTGTCGCTGAAGGATATCCCGAGGCAGGGGAAGCGGCCCTGGTGTTTAGCTGTTACCAAGCAGACTGCACACGCGTTTGACAGTAGCCGTATTCGTTTGGTATTGCTGCCAGAACACATTGCCCCAAAGGGCATGGCTGACACGACCCGGAGTGACCTTGCAGATCTGAGTCAGAGTGTGGCATGGGTCTCCCCAGGCACACATCGAGGCGTCACGGGCGTGACCTTCTGAAGACTCGCGAGAATGTTTCCTGCTCATCGGACTGTTGGCAGAATTTGATTCCCGGCCACGACAGGACCAGCATCCTTGTTGTGTTGCCGGCTGTGCGCTGAGGCATCCCCAGCCTACAGAGGCTGCTGCGTCCTCGGTTGTGGTCCCCTTCTCCCACCTCTAAAGCCAGAAACGGCGGGCTGAGTTCTCTTCAAGATGCCACCTCCCTGGTTCTCTGCAGCCGCGGAAGGTTCTCTGCTTCGAGGGAAGCCTGTGATTAGAGGGCCCACCCGGATCATCCGGAATCAGGATCTCTGCTGTCTCAGGCCCTTAAACCAGTCAAATCTGCCAAGTCCCTTTGCCACGTAGGGAAAACAGCCGCAGGGTAGTAGGGATTAGGGCCTGGCTCCGTGGGGAACCGTTGCTCTACTGACCACTGCCTTTATGGGATCGATGCTACTGTCTGCCATGGGCTCAGACTTCCAGCATCCCTTCAGGCTGCCATCAAAGTAGTCCTGCAGGAACCTCCCCAGGGCCTTGGCCTCACGCAAGGACTCCTGCGTGACACACCCCTCTCCTCCTGCCCTGCTGACGGAACAACAGAAACCTGTCCGCTGTGCTTCCCAAACCAGAATCGGAAAGTGCGCGGCTAACGCTGAGTTTGAGTCCAGCATCCATGCAGGGATTTCTTGGCACCATCTTCACCCGGTTCTCCAGCAGCCGGGACCCTTGGCCTTCGTTTCAGGGTCCACAGCAGAGCCAGCCCTGGGAAGTCCTGGCCTGTATCGGGCCCTCGTTGTCTCCTGTCGCGTGAGGGCAACACCAAACATGTTTTCCTGGATGAATTTAAATCTTCTGTTCTGCATATGCCAGTCTTGTCCTCACTCTTGTTCATCAGATGTGAAGGACAAAACATGGATACCCTCTCTTATCACCACACTGTTCACCAGAAACTCAATACCGTTTGTTGTGTGCAAATCCGTAGTTATCCCTCCAGTTTCCGGCTGCTTTTATTTTATTATTGTTACTTTTGTTGTTGTTTTTGAGAGAGAGAGAGACATCCATTTGTTGCTCCACTTATTAATGCATTCATTAATGATTCCTGTATGTGCTCTGACTGGGGATCAAACCTGCAGCCTTGCAGATTGGGAGAATGCTCTAACCAACTGAGCCACCTGGTCAGGGCCTCAAGTTGCTGGCTGCTTTTAGAAACTCAGAGCTTTGCCCTGACTGGTTTGGCTCAGTGGATAGAGCATCGGCCTGCAGACTGGAGGGTCCCAGGTTCGACTCTGGTCAAGAGCATGTACCTTGGTTGCGGGCACATCCCCAGTGGGGAGCGTGCAGGAGGCAGCTGATCGATGTTTCTCTCTCATCGATGTTTCTAGCTCTCTATCCTTCTCCCCTCCTCTCTGTAAAAAATCAATAAAATATATATTTTTTTAAAAAGAAACTCAGAGCTTCATTGAATAAATCCCTGAAAAAAGTCCACCAAGAAGCCTCTTTAGAGTCTCTCCAGTCCTTCCTCAGTCCCAGAGGAACCGACGCTGGTCTGCCTGCCTGTCCAGGTGGCTGTGACCTGTCAGCAGTCCTGGGCCCATCCCAGCACCCGCTTCTTCCCATCTCCAAATGCCTCAGGATCGGATACCCACGGACTCCATGCTAATGACACGTGTCTGTGTGGGCAGCACAATCAACCTTTGCTGATGGACAATTCCTTTTAATCTGGTAGCTGCAGCCTCACACTCCAGGGCAAGCCTCTCGCAGTGTCCAAACCAGGGGGCGAAGAACTGGACAGGCGTGAGGACCGCAGAGCCCATGTCAGGGAAGTTGTCTTCGGTGAGTTCCAGCATGTTGGAGGCAGCTGCTATGGCTGGCCGGCGAGAAGCCGTGCTGCGTGGAGGCGAGGTAAGGCGGGCAGCCAGGAGGGCCGGCGCTATGGGGACTGCAGGGGCATGGCCAGTGACAACACATCCTCTGCCTGTACTCACATGCCTGGCCCAGGTGGACCTGCCGCCTGAGGTCCCAAACCCCAAGCCCGGCTCCAGCTGCAGTCTGAAATTATTCTGCTAAACATACTAGTCAATATTTGTTGAGCACGTACTATGTACCAGGCACTGTGCTAAGCACTCTACATAATGAACACAAAATCTTCAAGCCAGACAACACTGCAATACCTGTCTTACAGCTCAGGAAACTGATGCACAGAGAGGTCAGGGAACTTACCCAAGGTCACAAAGCTTCGCATTGGGATGCAAATGCTCTTAACCAGCATCTGTATTAAATATATTATATCTACCTGTCTGTCTATCCATTCAATTTTTATACCTAGGAAAAACTGGGAGGTATCTTTGCCAACATGTTAAGAAGGGTTTTCTCTGATAATGGAATTCCTGTTAACATGACATGTACTTCTCTGCGGGTATATGCTCATGTGTGCTTTTCTGTGTTTTGCAAGTTTCTGACAATGCATACATGAATACATAGAATAAGAATAAAATCTATTTAGCTTGTTAAGTGTGAAGAGCAAGGACAGTCACCCATTCTCTGTCCTCTATGCATGACCCTGAAGTCCTGTCTGCCACTGGTCTTAACACCAAGACACCAGCAGAGGGCGCCTCCTACCAGCTTATTGAGCGTGCAAACCTTGCTGAGGGTTCTCATTGCACCAGGCTCAGGTTTCCTTGTCCAGGATTTCGGCCCCTGATTACAGGCTTTGGCCTTTCCTCTGGCTACCAACCTGCTGAGGGTCTCTGAAAGACCCAGCACCATCCAGCTGCACCCCCAAATCCACCCAGCACTGCCCCCAAAAGACACACACACAGCTGCAAAACTATACTGGTATGGGCTGGAATAGTTTGATCAGGGAGGGAGAGTCAGGACTCAGGGGACTAAGAGAAAACTCCAGAAGAGGTGGAAGAATGGGGATGGGTGTCCACAGGAGTTGTTTCTGTACCTCTGTGTCTGTGTCTAGGTGGCCCTGTTTGGCACAGTCTCTGATTCTGTCCCTTGGTCCTTGGCTGCAGTGTTGGACCCATGATATGAGCCCTGAAAAGATTTATAGGAGCTCAGTGCAGCCAACACCCTCCACCCCCATCCTCACCCTCGTGGCAGCCCAGGTCGAAGGAGCCGGGAGACCCCCAGGGCCCCTGTCTGTGGTTTCTAGTGCCCGGAGCCTTTCCCTGACTGCCAGACGCAACCCAGGTTTCAAAGGTGTTAATATCAGGTGCTTTAAATCAAGCACATATTGCAATAGCTATTGTTTTGTAGCTGAAATAATTTCTTTTTCTTTTTATTGCTGGCATTTGGGTTTCTGGATTTGATGTCCAAATTTATGCAAACAAAATGCAACTACGTTTCAGGGAGGAAAATGGAAAAATGTTCTACCCTAGGAACAAAGGCCTTGGCCCATTTCTCCTTCAACTGGAAGTCAAGGACTTGGCATTTCTCCCTGATATGATGGCTTTTCCCTACGCTCCAACTGAGATGCTCCTCTGCCTATTCCCATGGCATTCCATGAAGAAGGCGGGAGAATGGTGCACACGTGCTAACACATGTATGGTCACACAGGCACACGCCCTCCTTGGGCTCTTGAGTGGCATCTGCCATGATCACACATCATAGCTATCTGCCGGCTCGGCATCTGTTGACAGAAAGGAATGGCAGTGGGTCACCGTTTCTAGAGGCGATGCTCTGGACGAATTTAAATTTCCTCTTCCCTAGCTGGTTTGGCTCAGTGGATAGAGCGTCGGTCGGTGGGACTGAAGGGTCCCAGGTTTGATTCCGGTCAAGGGCACATGCCTGGGTTGCGGGTTCAATCCTGGCCCTGGTCGGGGCGCATGCAGGAGGCAACCAATCAATATTTCTCTGTCTGTGTCTCTCCCCTTCCCTTATACTCTCTCTACAAATCAATGGGAAAATATCCTCGGATGAGAATTAACCAAATAACTAACTAACTAACTAAATACAATTTTCCTCTTTCCACTGCCCTGATTCCACCCTCCAAATCGGCCTGAATGGGCCTGAATGAGAGCGTCTCACTGGCACCCAGGAGGAAGGGGTGGGGTGGGGTGGCGGGTGGGGGTTCTGAGAAGAATTACCCGCTGCTCCACAAGGAGCCCGGCTTTGCCCTCAAATACACAGCAACAGAGGCTCGTTAAGCTTGAAACATCGATCCCATCCAACCCCCTTGTTCTATAGACAAGAAACTGAGACAGAGAGACCAAATGACCCGCCCCAAGACATGACCAGGCCCTTCCGATGGTCCACGGATGGCGTTCCAGTGGAAGGAACAGGCTTCTAGAGCCGTGTGGCAGTGTTCTGAGGGTGGGGAGCAGGAACACTTAAGGGGGGAGGCAAACTGGCATCTCGGAGGAGGAAAGGCGAGGGCTCAGCGGGGAGCAGAGATGCTCAGGCCTCTGAGCTGCTGCAGGTGTTGGCGTTGCTTCTGGCCGGGCCCAGCCACTGCAGGAGGCCGAGGGGGCGAACGTGGGAACCGGCACTCGGCTCCCCACGGGGACCGTTCCGGTGCTACTCCTACCCCACCTCCCGGGCCTTGCACGCAGCTTGAGGAACGGAGGGTGTCAGGGACCAAATGTGTTGTGACTAGTTTGCTGTGATGGAAGCTTTGGGGGAAGAGCGGGTGACCGCTTGGCTAACCGGACGCTTCTGGACAAATGTGATCAACCATTGACTCCACCCAGCATCTGCCTCAGATTCGACTCTATTTCACGCAGCTTAACCGTGTGAAAGCGGCATGAAGGGCGCAGCCATGGACCCGACGCGGCCCCTGCCCTCGGCGCTCTCAGGTAAGGCCGTCAAGTGCCTGGCAGGCCAGAGTGGACACCGCAGCAGCAGTGACAACTCGCTGCCCTTGTCCGCACAGGCCTGGCTCTCAAAGGGCAGCTGCTCCAAGATTCGGTCACAGCTGTCACTTCCAATTAGCAGGGCGGACACAGACCGTGGGCAGAGCTGTCCCAGCTTTCAGTCTCTCCGCTCCCATTCCCCGCCCTCACATCCATCTTAACTCCTTCGGTCACCCCCCCGATCTACGTGAGAACCCGGGTAGAAGGTGGAGCTGGTTTTGCATCCAAGCAAACATTATTTAAAGCTGGATAGCACAGTACTTCATGGTCAAAGGTATGCTCTCCAAGTTGTCCACTGCCGGGCACATTTGGGGCACGGCTGGTGCAGGAAGCCAGCTTGGCCTCACAGAGCTGGAGGGTGGCTTGCTGGTTCGTGGTCACTGCCGACCCCTTAGGAGACCTGGAGATCAAAGCCAGTGGCCCGGAGCACGCCAGCCTGACCCTCGGGGCCCCGCTTCCACAAGGCTGACCATCCAGCCAAATGCCATTTGGGGACGCCTGCTTGCCCTGCCCAGGTCTCCCTCTCCTCACACAGGGTTCTCTGAGGATTCATTCCACGCATCTGAAAACCCAGGAAGCAACAGCTCCCTGTGAGACTGGGAAGGAGGGAAAGCTTAGCTCCAAGGGCACGTTCACACCTCTGTGCTGGTGGTCCCACAGCCCAGACCCACTGCGCCAAGACCTGTCCCTGCGAGCACCTTGCTTGCCAATGGGACTTTGCTTCAAAAGTCCAGTCTTCCTCCCCCAGGAAGCCTCCCTAATTGACCAGCTACCATCCTGCACCATCGAATTCATCTCCCCACTCTGACCCTTCCCACCATTGACCAGGCCTCTGGATATAGCTGAGCCCGGCCCTGATAGGGTCCCAGCTCAACCCTCCACTCATCTGGCCACACTGGGAAGCGACAGAGTCGAATGCTCATTCCCATTAGCCTAAGGGTGTGGAGAAGGCTGTGGGCGGGCAAGATGGCACCCAGACCCTTGTTCTGCAGACCCTTCTCCTATCAAAAGGCGAACACTCTCCCCACCCTACCCTGGCCCCTCCTTGCGCTCCACCTCCCCATGGTTTTTAACCTGATCTGGAACATGAATGGTTCCCCTTGAAAATTCTCACCAATCTGCAGACATTCTTCCCAGAAAAATGCATGCATCCCTTTGCATAAAACTGGGTACCACTGAGGTTCTCCCCGAGGCTCCTGGTTTCCGGTGGGTTCGTATCAAGGTGGGTTACAGTGCAGTCTAGGAGGGCCCTGTGGTGGACAGAGATGGGTGAGCCAAGCACCCCCGCGTGTGTTTCTGAGAGCACCAGTTCCCGGGGACACTCGCTGAGTTCTGAATAGGATGGGGTCAGGGGTCACAGGAGGCTGGGGCCTCTGGGTGAAGGGTTTCTCTCCTGCAGGACTTCTTGGACTCGGGCAGAGACAGTTGGTGCTCTCCCAAGATGAAAGCCTTCTTCCAGGAGTTGCTTCGAGCGGCCTAGTGAGCAGTGCCTCCTGCCTGGCGCAGGTGGCTCACCTCCCGTTGGCTCCTTACCTTCTCTCGCTGTCTGCTGGCTCCTGGCTGCCCTGGCTCCGGGCATTGCTTTCTCGGCTGGACACCTCCTTGAGCTCGGCACCGCGGAAACGCTCCAGGAAAGCATCCGGTCGCTGGTCCCGGTGGTGTGCGTGTCTGGAAGCCCATATGCGCAGCGAGACGATGAGGCGCCACAGCCTGGAAGGGCACGGACGGCAGTCAGCGCACAGAGGAGGGAGAGGAAAGCGCTGGCCTCCTGCCAGGTCCTGGCTCAGGCTGCGTCTCCCCCTATGGGCCGTTTATTCCTCTGTGTGCACCCAGAAGTCAGCGCCCTCCGGAAGGGACGGGTCCTCATTAAGGCCTTGTCCTTCTAACCCCTGACTCCACAAAGGCGCCAGCCTCCAGTGGGCATGAGCGAGCTTTTCTGCTCCCTGTTCCTTGTGCCCCGTGTGGAACTCTGTCACAACTGGTGAGCACAGGATGCGTAAACAATTCTATTTCCAAATGCTGAAAACTTTAGAGCAAGGCTTAAGGAATAAGCCCTTCAATACAAATGTATTATTGTTTCTTCCAGGAACTCTCGTTTTCTCCCAGGCTTGTGCATACATTCTGTCGCTCCTTGCCTGGGCCCTTCTCCTGGAGCCAGACCCCACGGGGCCTCAGGCCCTGAGACGCAGTCCACATCCACCAAGCTGGCCTTGCCCCAGCCCCCTGAGCCATCTTCGCCAGGAGGGGATGGAAGAGAGGCTGGTTTCCCTGAATTGGCACCGACTGTCCACACCACAGACCCAATAAAAATAGTTGTGAGCAACTGGAATGAAGTCACAAGTCTCACATACTTTGACCCCAATTGCACTCATGTGACCTTAGCCTAAGGGAATAAATTGAAGCAAGAAAATGACTCAGAAGCAGATGCTGACAGATTCTGTGGGCGTCTGTCCAGGTGCCTCCCAGCCCAACGTGTCTGCTCTGGACACTCCCTTCCACGTCTTCCCTCTGCGGTGGAGGGGAAACCGAGGCCATACCCCATC